TTTTTTTTTGCCCTGTTTCATTTTTGGTCAAGGTCTGCGTGTGCCAAGTCTGGTGTTTGTTGGGGTCTTGGAGATGACTGTTTTGGCCAGCCCTGAAAATCCTGAAAAACTGAAAAGAGCGAATTTCGCATGAAAACACACTTTTGCCTTGGGGTTTTACGCCTCTTTGATCCAATTTTTTGCTTTTCTTTTTTTTTTGCTGTTGGTTTATTTGTTGTCCACTCTATGGACTGGTGACAAGTCTGGCTTAAAAGGTGTGGGACGTTTGTTATAATGACCCTGAAAAAAACCCTGAAAATTTAGGGTTCTGTTAACCTCTTCTCTCTGCGTCCGCAACGTTCAATTGGGAGTGATCTTCAATCTCCTGCGCCCACCACTCCCAGGATGCTTGGCCAACCCGGCATGTCCTCTGGTCTCGACCTGTCCACTTTCATTAGGGCTTCGAGGATGACGTTCAATGGGGAGTGATCTGCAATCTCCTGCACCCACCACTCCCAGAATGCTCGGGCAACCGGGCCTCGCACGAAAAGATGAGGGACGGTGTCCACTTGTCCGCATCCCGCTGCGCATGACTGGTCCTTGTGCTGGCTCCTGGCTGCCAACCATTGTCCTGTAGGAATTGCCAGGTGTTAAGATTGCCATAACAGGCCAGCCTTTTTCTGGTCTGGTAAGGCGGCTAGGATGGCACTTTGCTCATTCCATCTGTGGTGTGTCCATCTGTTAGAGTACGGATCCGGGAGCCAGTCCCTCTTGACCCACCGATTCTTCAGTTCTCCATGTATGTCCACAGCCTCCAGTAAAGAGTTGTAAATGTTCTTCATGGTGAGGCTCTGGAGCGGCACCACTTTCCTCTGCATTCTGTGGGCCGACCATTCCCACTCCCTCGGGTCCCATGCCAGATTCCGTCGATGCTCTGCTATTCGGAATGGCAAATACTGCCCCTCCCCCCTCCGTCCTTCTTCACACAACGCCACTGTTTCCATTGTATTTCTGTCCACCGTTTTCCGGGGTCCCCCCTCGTGTGTGCTGCATTCCTGCAGAGGCTCCCCCAGTCCTTCATAGCCCAAGTTTGCTAGCCATCCCGTAACTTTGTCCGCCAATACTTGTTCCACCCTATACACTCTCTCTGGTCTTGGGGTTCCTTTCAACTTCACCCATTCCCTGGGGGTTATTTTGTCTTTTCTTAATGTTTCAATCCACCGGGGTGGGATGGCCTCCCGCAGTCATCGGACCATTTGCCTCCTCATCCGTCCATGCAGTGATTCCACCATCCGGGCACCAGTCCTTCCGATCTTCATCCCGTAAATGGCCCACTTGTAAACTCCTTGGTCCACCCACTTCCACCCATATGCTCCTCGCGGGCCATGCCACGGGAAGGGTTCGCCAGCCACATTGCAGATGAACCAGTTATCGAACAGCAGCTGGTTGACAACTGCATCTGCGGTTTCCGGCAGCCAACATCTCAACTGTGCTTTTTTCCACAGCGCCAGTTTGGTGGACCACAGCGTGTCCCCACGGATATGGCCTATTGTTGTGTTGCCGAGTAGGCACAGGTCCACCAATTCCCTAGGCACCTGAAGTGAGTGCGCCAGGTGGGTCCTGGTAACTTCTTGCCAGGCACCCCCTACCGTGCCCAGCAGATGCCAGATCAACTGGCGCATCTGCAGGGCGATCATCTGCATCGGCGGATCGAAGAGTCCCAGGCCACCGAACTGCCTTGGCTGGATAAGCTTATTACAGGCCACTCTGCATATGGAGCCCTCAGCATGCGTGTTGCTTGACCATAAATGTGCGTGCACAACCCCTTCCTAATGTATCTAAAGGTGTGTTTGCCCGGCATGTATACGACGCCAGCATACTATAAGGTTGACAACACTGAGTTCTTGATGACCAAGCCTTGCCAAAGACACCCATGCTGCCTCTTGCGCTCCGTGCTTTGAGTCGGGCCGCCGCCACCGTCGCTCGGACCGCCACCCCGCCAAAGCTTGGCGTGAGATTTGCTCCCAGGAAGACCATCCTTTCTCCTTCTTCCACTATGGGGATGTCCCATCCCTCCCGCGGGAG